GAGAGGAGACAATGCAATTCGCGGGCTACCTCGCTTGCATGATATATGGACGGCACTCAAATTAGGCGCGGTGGAACGCGTTTCTTTGAAAGACCTTATGATGGTCTAAATTGCAAGCATGTCACATCTCGTTGTAGGCTTTTAAATTATTAAAAAGTGTAGAGATGATAAGAAGAACTTCCAGAAAGGCCGACTCAAACAAATGAATGTTGCCCATTGCATACTTTTGGACTTGAACAAGAGATTTTGCTCCGCTTAATTGAGATGAAACCCACGTACCTACTCGATGCTGGTGCGTCTCAAATTCGTTTCCAAACACAACTCATAGTTTGTTTCCCACATGAAATAAGTCCCCTCTCTAGCGTACATAGCCGCAGTTTTTCGTAATAGGCTTTACACTGTATCAGGGTCATAGCCTCCGCTGGTTAGTCTGCGAAAGACATACCAGGAAAATTAGTTTGCGCACAGATGTCTGGTCAACTTTAGTACTAAATTGAAAAGGCTAATCTCTTCTGCTTCCAAAATCGCAGGCACTCTTATTAACTTCCTTCAACTGACATCAAGAATAAGGAACTTCAAATAGATAAACTTAAAAGACTCTAAGCATATTATGACAATTAAGTCCCTTATTCCGTCATTTCCTTGTCCTCTGGTATAAAATGGTAGATGGCTGCTGGCATAGATGAGAGTTGAACTTCGAATGAAGACGCGTTTAACGATATCGTAAAACTGATGACAGTTTGCGGCTTTGAGCTAAGCAACTTATTTTAATAAGGTGAAAATATAAAGATCATAGTCAGGCCTCCGCAGCAGGCCTCCGGAGGGCAAGCTGGAATTCGTTTTTGTGGAAAAAGCAAAGGAGAAATCGTATGGGGTCCAAGAGGAACCTGCAGTTCATCCTCAATTATGACCACTTTTTCCGCAACAAGATTCTTTCCAACGCGGGTTTTCTGCAGCGGTCTGAATATTTCCTTTAATTCAGAGTAATTCCACACAACACTTCTAGGCCGTTCAAAAACCTGCTCCGGCAAAAGTTCA